TTGAAGTTTTGGGTTAGAGACGCAGCGTGTCTCGTTGTCTGCGTCTCTAACCTCCAAACTTCAAATGGGCATAACTCGGCTCGAAACTGTCCTAGAAAGCTGATTTTTAGCTCATTTTAATTGGTTCTTTTTTCTTCTCTATCTTTTCACCGAATCCTTAAAAATTGTCTAATAATTTTCAGACAAACTCAAAGAATACGAGCGCTACGCGTATGCTCAATCGGACTGTGACTACTGTAACAACTTGGAAGTCAATCATGCCGATAAAGTCTTTTATGATGAGCAATTGGAGGATGATTCTGAAGAAGAGGACGCTAGAATTGAAGAGATTGCTCAGATTCAAGAGACGCAAAGAAGAGAAATTGAGGATTTGAAGAAGAAGCATCAGGAAGATATTGGAGAGATTTTCAAGAGATTGGAATTGGTCGAAAAGTGGCGAGAAGAGAAAGATGTGGAGGATTCAGGATATTTTTTGATTGATTCAGAAGAATCGCTCTGAAATTCGTTTTTTTCGCATTTTGACTAATTTTTAAAAAAAATCTGAAAAATTCAAAAATTCAAAAAAATTCATATTTTTCCCGTTTTGTATTTGTGTTCCCTTGAAATTATCTATTTTTACATATAACGATAACGGTTTTTTTTTGCTTTAACTTCCAGAAAAATAATTTAAAAATTCAAAAAAAAAATTTTTTTGAATTTCTATTTTTTCCCAAAATTTGAATTTTTATATTTTTTCTAATTTTTTCTCATATTCTTGTATTTTTTAAAAAAGTTTTACTCGAATTTTCTGAAATTTAAAAAAATTTTCCAAGGTTCCCCGACCTTTTCCTATATCTTTATCTTCAATTTTTTCTTAAGCTCCGCCCCTTTTCTCTAAGCTCCGCCCACTTTTACTCTTGCAGCTTAACCCTAAACTTTTGTCTGAAAATGGCTGAGTCATCTGATCAACCTCCGGAATCACTGATAAAATTCATGAGAGAGATCCAGAAGCAAGGAGATGAGCAATTAAAACAGCTCACCGATGGAGCACAGAAATTCATGGATATGTATGCGAAGACGTGAGTTTTTAAGAAACAAGTTATTGAATTTGTTGATAAATTTTAAGAATTCAAAAGTACACAAAAATTCCAACAAAATGAGCTAAAAACCAAGTTTCAAGGACTATTTTGAGCCGAGATACGGTCATTATAATGTGGAGGGGCTAGAGACGCAGTGTGTCTCGTTTCTCTGCGTTTCTCGGCTTGAGTATTATTTTGAGTGAGTAGAACGATTTGAAAAGCAAAATTTCAAACGATTTTTGACAAAATGAGCTAAAAATCAGTTTTCTAAGACAATTTTGAGCCGAGATATAAGCATTTTAAGTTTTGGGGCTAGAGACGCAGAGACGCAGAGAAACGAAATCTGTCCTATTTGTATCTTTTTTAGCGAAAAACAGTCCAAAAATTTGGATGCCTCATTAAAAACTACCCCAGGACCCGTTTTTATGGTAGAAATCGCATGCGGCCTAACTTTCCAAATGGTGGCCTAGAAAATTCCAAAACTCGGCCACCATTGAAATTCTGGTTTTTTCATAGTTTCCGGGGTAGTTTTCAATGCAAAAACTGATTTTTAAAGTTACAGAACCTGAAAACTAGTGGTTAGGGTCAAAAAATTGATTTTTTTAACAAGATTTTCTTCAAAAAAGCCAAAAATGTGTTTTTGACCGTATCTCAGCTCAACTCCATCCTAGAAACTCGAAATTTAGCTTATTCGAACCCAAATTTTAAAATTTTTCACAATTTAACTATTTCAGCTATACACCACAAGCAGATCTGGAACAACAACTCAAAGAATCACAAGAATCCGAACGTCGGGTCCGCCAAAAAATGCTCGAAATGGAAATTGAGCACAAGGAATATGTTTTGCAATTGCAAGACAAGCTGACTAATGCTGAGGAGGAGAGCGAGAACTTGAAAGCAAAATTGGAAGTGAAATTCGAGGAATACGGGGAAAGGTAAGGTTTTTTTTGGCAGAAAAAAATTGCAAAAAAAAACATTTTTGAATTTTTCGAGCCAAAAAACTCGAAGAATTGTAAAGCAAATAATTGCAATGGTTTTGTCCTGAAAAGCGCTTTGAAATGAGCCCAAACACGACTAGGCTCTGCCCATTTTTATTTTCAGTGTGCGTAGCGGTCGTGCGTCGCGTGCCCGATGGGAAAACTCAAAGTGTGCGGAGCCAAGTCGGCTCATTTTGAAGCGCAGAACAAGGCAAATCTAATGCAATAAATTTATAGAGATATAACCGAAAACTTAAAAGTTTCAGCGTTTTCAAAAATTGCCCCAAAAATTTTTTTTAGTTCAATTTTAGTAGTTTTTTAGGCTCAAAAACCTGGAAACTTTGCTAGAAAACAATTGCAATTGTTTTCTCTCAAAACGCGCTTCAAAATGAGTTCAAACACGACTAGGCTCCACCCATTTTCATTTTTGACGCGCGTCGCGGTTGTGCGTCGCGTGCACGATGAGAAATCTCAAAGTCGGCGGAGCCTAGTCATGTTTAGGCTCATTTTGAAGCTCAAAACAAGACAAATCTAATGCAACAATGTTTGTCAAGTTGACATCACAATCTAAAAAGTTACTGAGTTTTAAAATTTCTGAAAAAATTTTTAAAGTAGATCCTAGTGGGTTTTTGGGCTCGAAACCCCTCAAAATTTATAAAATTTTCAAATAAAATATGAAAAATCTTTTCAGACCATGTCGCATTAATCCATTCCAACTAAAATTATCGAAAATGAAAATCGATCATCAACAGCTGGAAATTCAAAATTTGAATATTGAAAATTCGCGTCTCTTCCTGACACTGAAATCGATGAAAGAGGAATTCAGAATTGAGCATGAGCAATCTAGCAAACTGCTCACATTGTATTCGAAACAGTTGGATAACACTTTGATACTGATGAATGAGATGAGAACTACAACGGAGGACTACAAGTTGTTGATCAGAAATAGAGATGAACATATTTCTGAACTTAAGGTAAGAAAATTCAAGAAATTCGAGAGAGAATAGTTTAAAAATCAAGTATCTAGCTCTATTTTGAGCTAAGATACGTCCATTTTAAGGTGGAGGGTCAGAGACGCAGTGTGTCTTGTTTCTCTGCGTCTCTCACCTCAGAAACTTCAAATGGCCATAACTCGGCTCAAAATGGAGCTAGAAAATCGATTTTTGGAGAGTTTTGTGACTAAATTTGTCTCTTTTTTTGTTTTAGACTGATTCTGAATAAATGAATTCAAAGTATTGAATAAAACCAGATAAAACTAAGTTTTGACGCACTAGAAAATTACTATTTCAAAAATGGATAAAATGCTTTTTCATGGAATTTATCATCATTGATCACTAGGCAGGAGAAGTCAATCATTGAAAATACAAAAATCAAGTTTCTAGTTCTACTTTGAGCCAAGTCATGGTCATTTGAAGTTTCAGGGTCAGAGACGCAGCGTGTCTCGTTTCTCTGCGTCCCTCATCTCAAAATCTTCAAAAGGCTATAACTCGGCTTAAAATCGTCGTAGAATCTTCAGTTTTTGGTCCGATTGAGAGCCAATTTTTCAGTCGATGACTTCCAAATTGAAAATCCCTGAATACCTTAAAATTCTGAAAAATTCTCATCTCACAAGTTTCGCTTTTCAAAAAAATGAAAAACGCAACATCAATTTATTGAACTCGATGACAAAAAATTCAAATTTTAAAAGCAATTTTTTGCGAAACTTTACTGTTTCACAGATTGAAAAAAATTGAATTTGGTCCTGTTTTTCTAATTTCTTATTTAAATTTTCAGCAGTTTTTCTTTTTTCTTGAATTATTAAAACTCGTACATTTTTCTACAAAGCGCACTAAAAATCATGATTTTCCGATTATTGTGAGCCGAGTTATGGCTATTTGAAGTTTTCGGGTCAGAGACGCNNNGTGTCTCGTTTCTCTGCGTCTCTACCCCCAGAAGCCATCAATGGGGCCGTAACTCGGCTCAAAATGGAGCTAGAATATTGATCTTTGGAGCGCTTTGTGAGTAAACTTGTCTAATTTTTTTGAACTTAATCTCGAGAAAATGTTGCAAAATTACAGTTTTGTCGCATTTTGTTCAGTAAAAAAAAATTACTGCTTCAAAAATGAATATAATGCTTTTCATTAATTTTTTTACCAATTGTATGCAGACATGAAAATACGATTATTGAAAAATCAAAAATCAAATTTCTAAGACTATTTTGAGCATAGTTCTGGGTGCATGAAGTTTTGAGGTCAGAGACGCAGCGTGTCTCGTTTCTCTGCGTCTCTAACACCAGAAACATCAAGTGGCCATAACTCTGCTAAAAATGGAGCTAGAAAATTGATTTTCGCAACATTTTGTGATAAAATTTGTCTAATTTTTGATTTTGGACAATCCCAAAAAATTGTTGAAAATTTTCAGTTTTGGTGCATTTTGTTCAGTAAAAAAAAATTACTGCTTCAAAAATGGATATAATGCTTTTTATTAAAGTTTTTACCAGTTATATCCATACATGGAAACACGATTATTGAAAAATCAAAAATCAAATTTCTACTACTATTTTGAGCCGAGTTACGGTCATTTGAAGTTGTGAGGTTAGAGACGCAACGTGTCTCGTTTCTCTGCGTCTCTGACCTCAAATCTTTCAAAATCATGCTAGAAACATGATTTTGGCGCATTTTGTTCAGAAAAATTCTGTTTCAAAAATTTAATTTTTAAAAAGTTTGAACCATATTCAATATTACCACAACGTTTCTAATTGCGTTATAACCAAAGGTGTTAGTTTTTGATGAAACTTCGATTTTGACGGAACTTTGAGAAACACAGAAAAAAAAGGTTGAAACGGGTCCAAACCAAAAAAATAGGGAAATTCCCAAACAATTTGCGTTTAAAAAAATCATTTTTTAGCTCAATTTTAGCCTAGTGATTGTCTATTCAAAATAATCGCGCGAGTGAACGAGTGAAAATGTCTGCGTCTCTACAGCACCTCTACAGGTTTCGAGGCTCTCTACACGTTTTTTTACTCGTTCATCCGCGCGATTATTTTGAATAGACAATACGGTCATTTGAAGTTGTAAGGTTAGAGACGCAGTGTGTCTCGTTTCTCTGCGTCTCTAACACCAGAAACATCAAATGGCCATAACTACGCTCATAATGGAGCTAGAAAATTGATTTTTTGAGCATAATGTTCAGGAAAAATGTACTGTTTCAAGAATTAAATGAAACATTTTCAAAATTTTCAAAATGATTACAATGACTTTAACTTCATTATAACCAAAAGCTTAAATTATCAAATGTTTATGAAAAATCAAAAAAAAAACTACGCTGAAATTGATCCGAACCTCAAAAAAAACAGAAGCATTTTTCAACAATATGCATTAAAAATCACTTTTCTAGCTTTATTTTAGCCTAGTTATGAGCGGTTCAAGTTTTGGGGCAAGAATAGGTACTCAATAAATGTAGCCAGAATTCACATTTCTTGAAGCAGTAATTTTTAAAAGTCATTTTAAAAACAATTTCATTTGAAATATGGGAATTGAAATATCCTACAAAACGCAACTAAAATCACTTTTCTGGCTCAATTTTGAGCTGAGCTACTTATAGCTATTTGAAGTTTTCTGTGAGAGACGCAGACAACGAGAGTGCTCTCGTTTCTTTGCGTCTTTAACCAAAAAATGTTAGGAAAAATACTAAGTTTCTAGCACCATTTTGAGCGGAGTTATAGCTAATTGAAGTTTTTGGTGGTGAGAGACGCAGAGAAACGAGACACACTGCGTCTCTGATCCTAAAGTTCAAATGGCCATATCTCGGCTTAAAATGATGTTTGAAACTTGATTTTTCGTTCGTTTTCTAGAGAAATGTTTATTTTTTTCAGGACAATTTCAAAGACTTGGTCGATGTCAGTAATGGAGTCAAAAAGACACTCAAAGACATGCAATCTCAACTTCAGAAAGCCCTTACAGTAATCGGAAGACAGGATTTGGAGCTTGAAGATCTTCGACGTCTTCGGGACGAGTTAGAAGCCGTGGGAACTTCAGAATCCCAGAAAATCTGGAATTTGACGAGCCTTTTCACTGAAAATCGGAACAGAATGTTGAGACTGAGCAAGGAAAACGAGGAATTGACCCGGAAAATGGAAAAACTGCAGTTGGACCAGAAAAAATTGGAAAAGGATCATTTGGAAGAAGTCAATGAGCTGCAGATGATTCTGGAGACACAGGATGATGAGCTGGAGAAGATGAAAATTGAGTTGGAAGAGAAGAAAGAGGATTCTGGAGGTTCTGAATCCGAGGATTCTGATGGATGGGCACATTTGGAGACTACTGAAGAATTTGGAACTGTGGAATGAGCAATTTTTTTAGAATTTTAGAATTTTAGAATTTTAGAATTTTAGAATTTTAGAATTTTAGAATTTTAGAATTTTAGAATTTTAGAATTTTAGAATTTTAGAATTTTAGAATTTTAAAATTTTAGAATTTTAGAATTTTAGAATTTTAAAATTTTAGAATTTTAGAATTTTAGAATTTTAGAATTTTAGAATTTTAGAATTTTAGAATTTTAGAATTTTAGAATTTTAGAATTTTAGAATTTTAGAATTTTAGAATTTTAGAATTTTAGAATTTTAGAATTTTAGAATTTTAGTTTTTGATCCAAAACTTTCACTAGAATCTAAAATTCTGAACATTCTGATTTTGAGATATTCTGTAATTTTCTAATTAATTCAAATTTCTAAATTTACGGATTATTTCAATATTTTGGAATTTCTGAAACTTTGAAAATTTAAGAAAATTCTGAAGACACGTTTTTCCTCAAAAATCAAAAAATTACTGTTTCAAAATTTCCCAAAAAAACTTCCAACAATTTTTTTGTACATTTTTTGCCTACAATTCCCAAAAATCACCTGAAATTCCCCTATTTTATTGTATTGTGCCCATATTTTCCATAACTTTTTGGACATTTTCTTGTACTAGATCGATCTGTTTCCCCTTCGAAAAAGCCCCACCAATGATTCTCTAAAAATTTCAATTTTTCCCAGAATTTTCCATTTATCTATATTTTTTGTCTGTCACAATTTCCATTTGTCCGGATTTCCGTAATGAACTTTCAAAAAAAAACCAAAGTTTTGGATTATTTAAAAACTTTTTTCAGGTTTCAAATCCTTTGAAATATCAGGATTTCATTGATTTTTTGCATAAATTTGTCCACATGACCACTTTTATTCTGTTAGAAGAAACCGCAGGAATATTTGCTGAGTTTAAAGGCGCATATCTCTTAAACTACAGTATCTACCAAAGGACTATGAACTAGCAAAATGTATGAAGTTTAATTTTACACATTCTTACAACTGTCAACTTTCTCTAGCTCCTTTAGTTTTCGAGATATGCGCCTTTAAAGTTGAAGGAACCGCGGGACGCAAAGAAGAACACTTTAAAGGCGCATATCTCGAAAACTACGGTATCTACCAAAAACGTTATACTGTAAATTTCCTACACATTTTTACAATCAACCACTATTTTTTATATTTTTTTAGTTTTTGAGCTATGTGCCTTTAAACACTCCCCTTCTCTTCTCTGTCTGCGTCTCGCTCTTTAGTCGTTACTTTAACTTTGAAGGCGCATATCTCAAAAACTACGGTAGCTACCAAAAAAAAAACGGTATGTTGCAAAAATAAGTAAAATTAGTTTTTACCATATTTGCGAAATTCCGGGCCGGACCGCTGTTTGTACATAAGAATTTAAGAATTTAAGAATTTAAGAATTTAAGAATTTAAGAATTTTAGAATTTTAGAATTTTAGAATTTTAGAATTTTAGAATTTTAGAATTTTAGAATTTTAGAATTTTAGAATTTTAGAATTTTAGAATTTTAGAATTTTAGAATTTAATATAAATTCTCGCTTCGGCCCGGCCTGGACCGTTGCAAGTGTGGTTTTTACACATTTTTACAATTTATCTCTTTTCTCTATCTCTTCCAGTTTTTGAGTTATGCGTCTTTAAACATGCTTCCTCTGCGTCTCTTTCCTCTCGCATAAAGTCAACATTAAAGGTGCATATCTCAAAAACTACGGTAGCTACCAATAAACTGTTTACCGCAAAAATATGCAAAATTTAATTTTATACATTATTACAATTATAAACTTTTCTTTAGCTTCCTTAGTTTTTGAGATTTGCGTCTTCAAAGTTTCTCACTCTGCGTCTCCTCTCCTTCTTAAATTTAAAGACGCATATCTTAAAAGCTACAGTACCCACCAATAATCTGTTTATTGTGAAATTGTGTGAAATTCGATTTTACATAGTTTTGCACTTTAACACTTTTCTGTAGCTCTTCTAGTTTTTGAGATATGCGTCTTTAAAGTTTCCCACTCTGCGTCTCACCCTCTCCTTAACTTTAAAGGCGCATATCTCTAAAACTACAGTATCTACCAAAAAACTGTTTATTGTAAAAATGTGTAAAATTTCCTTTTACACATTTTTCCAATTTACTACTTTTCTCTAGACACCCTCATTGCCGGGATACGCGCCTTTAAACCGTCCCTGTCTGTTTTCTGTCTACGTCTCCTCCTCTTGCCTATCCCTCTCTCGCTGCCTCTATTGATCTACAATAGAGCGCGTTTGTATTCCGTCCCCTCTCTTTTTGCCATTCGTCTTCTGGTCTCAATTTTCCTGATTTGAAGTCATTTTCATCGATTTCCAAGACTTTTTTGGCAGTTTTTCTAGGTTTTCTAGAAATTTCATCCAATTCTCTTGATTTTGGTGCCATTTTGAGGCATTTTTCTCGTGATCTGAGCACTGTTACAATTTGAAGAAAGAAAAATTCAGAAGAATGTCGACGGATTCGCCTAAACCGACGCAGGAGTTCACTCAAGAGTATTTCGATGCTCTCCAAGCAAAATTGGATAGGGATATTCGGGAAAAGTGAGTTGTTTTTTTTGATTTAAAGCTACAGTAATTCAAAAAACTTCAATTGAATGAAAAAAAAACAGATTCCGGAAACTCACAAGGGAAGGTTTTTTAGACAATGGTTGAGAATTTTTAAAAAATTACTGTTTCCTAAAATATTCAACTTTTCTGCCTTTAAATTTTTAAAACTACTGCGTAAACAATTACAACAATATAGAAATTCCAATAAAACGGACTGAAAGATAATTTGATATGACAATTTGAGCCAAATTATGGCCATCTGAAGTTTGGAGAGATTAGAGAAAAATTCACAATTCTTCGAAAATCTGTGGTCAAAAAAATCTTGAAACAGTAACGTTTTTTGGACTGAAATGTTTTTTTCGCTTCCTGGTTTTTTTCTGAACGATAATTTTGAAAATGCTTAAAAAATAATTTTCTCCCTACAAAACGCGCCCAAAATCAAATTTCTAGGACCATTTTGAGTCGAGATATGGTCGTTTGAAGTTTTTGAAGTTCTTGTTTCTCTGCGCCTCTGCGTCTCTTACCTTCAAACTTCAAATGACCATAACTCGGCTCAAAGTTATCGTAGTAATTTGGTTTTTAGTGCGTTTTGTAGGGAACTTCTTGAATTTTCAAAATTCATTAAACATTTTGGACATTTTCTGAAAACTTTTTTTTACTGTTTCAGGCAATTTTCGAACTTTTGTTCCAATTCGCTCTCAATAATTCCAATTTATGTTCCGTTCTTGCTTTTTGGAAAAGTTCTAAAAATATTATAGAGACAAGGACAAAAAAATCAAGTATAGTTTCAAAAAACTTGAATCTACAATCTTCGCATTAACAGTGAAAATCTCTACAAAAGGCACTGAAAATCAAGTTTCTATCACGATTTTGAGTCGAGTTATGGTCATTTTGTAATTTTGGGACTAGAGACGCAGAGAAACGAGACACACTTTTTTTTAAAGTTTTTCTCCCAAAAATTGTTAACATTCAAAATTTTCAGTCCCGCATCCGTTGACCCAAACATCATCATCCTCACAAAGCAACACGCTCGTCTTCATCAAACTCTGAACGCGCAAGCCAAGGCCTACACGAATCTCGTCGAAATGCACATTCGTCGTGAGGAAATTGCGATTTTGGAGAAACTGGAATTCGCCGAAACCATCAAAGCCTATCAGCTGAGACTGATGGAGGGCAAAAAGTTGAAAAATCGAAAGGAACGTCTTCAGGAAATTGAGAAGACGTACGAGAAGAAGAGACAGGAGGCGCAGACGTGTACGCAGAATTTGAAGAATGTCGTTGGGTCGTTGAGTGATATTCGAGCTGGAATGCAAGCGTTCGTTGGAGAGCAAATTGGATTTCCAGAGTCGTTGAGAGCACTGAGTCGGTCGTTGAATGGAACAGGTGGGTACGGTACTTTAGACTTCACACAGTAACCTACAGTAACCTAGGACTTCAATATTACAAGTCTTCCAAATTAGCCTAGAGTAACCTGGGTACTGTTTAGACCTCGAAAAATTGAGATTTAAATTTTGAAGCAGTATTTTTACATCAAAAATTTTACTGTTTCATTTGATCTAAAATTGAAATTATGAATTTCTACAGTAATCGTTCGCTATTCGTGGTAGGCTATCTTCGTACAGTAATCTACAGTAGTCAGGGTAAAGTTCAGTAATTCAGAGCCAAAAAGAAGAGATTTTAATACAGAATTTTTCCAAAATTGAAAAAATTACTGTTTCATTTCTAACCGAAATTCAAAAATAAAATTCCCCCGTAATCTTTTCCTTTTTATAGACGACTATCTTCTTACAGTAATTTCATTACAGTAATCTACAGTAGTTTATATTAATTTTCAGTTATATTTGCACAGTGAAGTATAGCAATCTTTGTACAATAATATTATGACTATACAGTAGTATGACTTACAATAGTATGAATTACAGTAGTTGAAACGATTTAATTACCGTAACCCAAACCATTTCCATCCTCTTGCATTAATCTAGATACAGTAGCAAGGTACAGTACCCATGGTACAGTAATCTATGTTTGTCTGTGGGACTACAGTAATCCGGACCCAAAAAATTGAATTTTCATTTTTGAAACAGCAAAAACTTCTTCATATTATGTAAAATCTACAGTAACCCGAGTCTACAGTAATCCTAACTACAGTATCCATGGGCTACAGTAATCTACTATTTCATTTTTTCTCAAAATTGAGATAATTCTGATTTTAGACATTTTAACGGTTTTCTGATACTTTAGAATTACTTAAGCTACAGTAATCTATGTACCGTAATCTAGTTACAGTAGTCCATAGTGATATCAATAGCTACAGTAATCCAGACCCGAAAAATTAGGATTTAATTTTTGAAACAGCAACTTCTAATTGAAAAATTACTGTTTCATTTGAACTGAAATCGGGGAAAAACCTGTTCTACAGTAATCCTAACTATACCAGTACCCATGAGCTACAGTACCTATGTGCTACAGTAATCTAAATAAAAATAAAGCCAATTGAAAGAAAAATTACGACTGTTTTCAAATGTGCATTTTCATGTTATATTGAAACAGTAAAAAAAAATTTAGACGATTTTCTGGATTTTTTGGATGATGGAGTACTGTGGCAAAACATACAGTAATCCGAAACACTACTGTAATCTAGATAATCAGAAACCATTATTCGGGTACAGCATACATGACTACAGTAATCCGAACCCGAAAAGTTGAAATTTCATTTTTGAAACAGCAAAAAATTGCCGTTTTATATTTAACTGAAATTGAAAAATTCAATTTTCAGTTGCTTGTTTATCTTCTGATACTTTATATTATGTCAAATCTACAGTAATCCTCTGTGTACAGTAATCATAAATTGTGAAAATTCTGATTTCAGAAATTATCATTTTTTCTATCGGTTCTCCGAAATTTTGGATTTACGCCTAACTACAGTAATCTATCTGCCGTAGTATAGATACAACAACCTACCTCATGGTTAATATCAATAGTTACAAAACATACTGCTTCGTTTTGAACTGAAATCGGGGAAAAACCTGTTCTACAGTAATCCTAACTACAGTACCTATGTGCTACAGTAATCTAAATAAAAATAAAGCCAATTGAAAGAAAAATTACAATTCGTTTCAAATGTGAATTTTCATGTTTCTACTGAAACAGGAAAAAAGTTGAATTCTTTTATTTTCAGCGGATTACAGTAATCTTGGTGCAGTAATAAAAATTAAGGTAGTCGAAATGATCCAATTACAATAATTCAAATCTCTACAGTAATCTAGATAGTAATCCGGACCCGAAAAGTTGAAAATTCAATTTTGAAACAGCGAAAAAAAATCGCTGTTTCATTTTGAACTGAAATTGTGAAAACTCGATTTTTATTTACTTTTTCGCATATTATTTCATGTCTACAGTAATCTTCTGGATACAGTAATCCCCGCTGAAGTATCCATCGGCTACAGTGATTTAAGTGAAAATGTAATTGGGCTAAAGAAATACAGCTGTTTTCAAATGTACATTTTTATTTTTCTACTGAAACAGTAAAAACATTTGGAGGATTTTTTGGATAATGGGCTACTGTAGCAAAATCAAAAAATGGAAATTTTTAGAAGACACTCCTCCATCGTCCACGCCTTCTTCTTCCTCTCCCTCAATTCCCCAACCGCGTGGACCGCTTCCTGCGATGCTCCTAGCAGTTCAGGATCACAGATTGGAGCGGAAAGAGGTGGAAATTTTGAATCTGAAAATGAGATTGGCACAATATCAACGGACGGGTGGACCAAAAGAGGTCTCTACGACTGCTGAGAACGGCGAGAAATCAGAAATATCGGTGAACACAGGGTCCGGATCTGTGTGAGTGTTTTGAAAGTCTGAAAATACAACCAAATTCCTTTCAATCGCTCAAAAAACCAAGTTTCTAGCACAATTTTGAGCCGAGTTATGGTCATTGGAAGTTTTGAGTTGATAGTGAGAGGCGCAGAGAAACGAGACACACTGCGTCTCTAACCCCTAACTTCAAATGACTATAACTCAGCTGAAAGTTGTCGTAAAAAAGTGATTTTTAGTGCGTTGTGTAGGTAATTTTAAGAATATTCAAAATTCAAACTATTTAAAAAAACTTTTCAAAAAAAAATTACTGTTTCGGAAAATGTTTGAACTTTTGTTTCACTTTGCTTTCAATGATTCCATTCTTCAATGATTCCATTTCGAACTTCTTGAATTTTCAAAATTCATTGAAAATTTTGGACATTTTCAGAAAACTTTTTTTTTACCGTTTCAGGCAATTTTCGAACTTTTGTTCCAATTCGCTCTCAATAATTCCAATTTGTACTTCGAATGACCATAACTCGGCTCTAAATTAAGCTAGCCAAGTGATTTTTTACCGTTTTCAAGGCCTTTACCAAAACTACAGTAAGCTTTCTTTTCAGCTACACCAACCTAACCAACGAGGAGCTCAACGAGCACGTTGTCCGTTGCTACTCGGCTCTGGCCTGCTACCAAAAAGCCAATTCTGGTCTTATTGATCAGCTGGTCCTCGTTGAAAAAACGGCCTATATGGACCGAATGAAAGCGGCAGATAAGATTCAAGAGCTACAGTATGACGTGTTGAAAGCAAAAAAGCTACACGGACAGAACAAGCTGATGCATGAGGTGAAGATGGAGTTTGTGGAGACGATGAAGGGAATTGAGGAGAAAATTGAGAAGAGCAGAGAGGATGTGCGATTCTTGAGAGATGGTCTGGAGCAGTTGTGTCTGGAGACATTTGGAGAAACTAAGAGAGTGGTTGATGACGTGGATTGGATATCGACTAGAAACATGAACGAGGCATACAAGCATAAACCGGAACCAACTGAAACGGATGCACATTTGGCGGAGAAGAAGAAGGAGTTGGCTAGGCTGAAGGAAGAGTTGAAAGCGCTGGAAACGGCATATGAAGCGACGTTGTGAGTTGTGTTTTGGGGTCCATTCATTTTACTTTGAGAATTCGGAAATATTCCTTTAAAGCGCACCTAAAATCAAGTTTCTATGACAATTTTGAACTTTGAACGGCTGTAACTTGGTTTAAGATGAAGGTAGAAAATTGATTTTTAGTACGTTTTGTAGCTAATTTTTTGAATTTTCAAGACGTTATACATTGCAAAAGTGAGAGACGCAGAGAAACGATACACACTGCGTCTCTAACCCTCAACTTCAAAATGCTCGTATCTCGACTCAAAATCATCGTAGAAACTTGATTTTTGTGGGGAATTTTTCATATTTTGGAATACACTCAAACGCTGAAAAAATTAGAAGATCCAATTATTTGAAAATCAAGTGATGGTTGACCTCCTAGAAGTCATTCTTGATGCATTTTTGAGGAATAATTTGATGGTAGCACGAAAATCAACAAATAGTGGTATTTTCCACAAAAATTGAGTTTTTGAAACAGTAGTTTTTTTCTGAATAGATCAAGTTTCTAGCTTCAGTTTGAGCCAAGTTATGGGTCAATTGAAGTTTTGGAGGTGAAAGACGCAAACAACGAGAGTACTCTCGTTTCTCTGCGTCTCTCACTGGAATTTTTCAAATATCATCAATAGCATTCCCACGGTATATCAAGCAGTGATTTTTCACGTTTGCTGGGGCGCGATTTTCGACCGATTGGTTTGAAATACCGTGCATTCCCTATATTGAAAACTGAAGATTTTCCTTATGTTTCAAAAAATTTCGAAACAGTAAATATTCTGTCAAGTGTCAGTAATGCTAGTTTTTTCCTCAAAAAAAACCTGCCACTATTTTTTTAAAAATAAATTTGCGAACAAAACATCTCAATTCCTGTAACATTCTAAAAAATATGAACGTTTGACTCTAAAATGCTTTAAAAATCAAGCTTCCAGCTCAATTTTGAGCCGAGTTACAGCTATTCGAAAATCTAGTGAGAGACGCAAACAAAGAGAGCACTTTCGTTTTTCTCCGTCTCCAACTGGAATTTTTAAATAGCTATAACTTTATGAATTTGAAAAAAAAACACGAAAAAAAACAGTTTTGAAATTGCTGTAGTTTACTGTAGTAACTGTAGTTATCGAATGGAGGGTAGTTTGATTCTCATTCAAAAAAAATTTAAAGGTGGGGGGACAGGAGATTTTTCGTAGTTTTTTTGTAGCTAGAGTATGCATTCTACCGTGACGGTGTACAACGCTTAATGTCACTCTGCGTACAGCTGTCGTCCTCGCCTTTATGTATGCAATCGGGCGACCGCTTTCTCTTTGCCCGTGTAGCTCAGTCGGTAGCGGCGCCGCACCCTCAATCCTCGCCCCACACGTTCAACTCCTCGAGGGGCATCTTTGAACGGAATTTCGAGAACATTATTTTTTTCATTTCCTCCCACCTTTAATGACAAAGTCAGAGTTTTTGCACTAATGTCAAATGATAATTTGCAGTTGTTTGAATTTAATAAAAAATTCAAAAAATTGTCTAGACAAAGCTCAAATTTTGATGCCATTGCAAATATTTACGTTTTCTTTTTTTTTTCAAGGTATTTTGGTTTTTTTTAAATTAAAAATCAAATAAATAAATGTAAATCTGAATGGTGAATTTGGAGTATGAAACAACTTTCTCATGTTTCCAAATTTTTTGAAACAGTAATTTTTTTCGCCGTTTCAAAAATTTTCCAAATCAAAGTTTCTATTATTCCATGTAATACCAAGTCCCGAAAAAGTGCTACAGAATTTTTCGATTTGTCTGAAAATGTCAGAGTATACTCAACAAAAATAGAGCTTCAATTTTGTGATTGACAATTTTTTTTAGCTACTGTAGTTTTTGGGCCAAAAATTGGGGGGGTACAATGATTCGGGGGTACAAGGGGGTACAACTGATTTAGGGGTACAAAATTGATGATTCGGGGGTAAAAAATTCGTGGGTACAAAAATTCGGGGGTACAACGATTCGGGGGTACAAACTACCAATGATTCTGGGGTACAACTCATTTCATTTAGGGGTACAACGCTTGTGATTCGGGGGTACAATTTTTTTTGAGGGAGTTTCTGAATTCCTGAATTTCAGAACTTTGGAATTTCAGTATTTCGGAACCTGAGAATTTCGGAACTTCACAGTCTGAGAATTTCAGATTTTCAGCACTTCAAAATCTCAGAAACTCGGACAGAATTTCGGTCCATTCTCCAGGGGTACATCGAAATAGGGTACATCATGCTCAAGGGGTACATTGACTGAGTGGGTACGCAGTCTGAAGGGGTACATCTAGGTAGTTGCACAAAAACAAAAAGTTCGGATCTGGTCGAGATTGAACTCGCGACTTCAGTTTTTCGTGCACCCACGCGCACCACTACACCAATTCACCCAGTTTCCCTTCTCCCACCGCAACCCGTACATATTCGGTGGTTTCTAAAGCAGGAAGAAAGTGAAAGAGGTTGAGAAAAAACAACTTCCGGAAGATTTCCCACGACTATATCTGAAAGTGGACACAACGTAATTTAAAATTCAATTCGGCACTGAAATTTTTCTGTTAGATTTCATTTAGTTTTTTTTTCACTTCTGTAGTTTACAAAACTTTGTAGAGATGAAGGAAAAACCAATGAAAAGGCATGAATTCCGAATTCTGACAGCAAAACTATGAAAAAAAAACCTATTATTTGTCTTCCGAAATCAGAAATAAATCGGAAATTAAGGGATTTTTGTCTGAAAAAAATTATTTTTAGGCCAGGATTTTGATTTCAGCTGATTCCATCGTCGTTTCCAATCGCTCACTTCTGTACTTTATCTGTCAGTGTTTAAAACAATTTTTTATATAAGAAATTTGCTTTTTTTTCTCGAAAATGTGTCTTTTACTGTGAGTTCTGTGTTTGAATCCCAAAAAATTGCTCGAAATTCTCATGGAAGAGTTTCCGGAATTTTCTAGGCCAGGGGCCGTTGTCGATTTACGAAGGCAATTTTTTCTATTTTTCCTCCTATTTTCTCGATTTTCAACGATTTTCGACTGTTTTTCGTTTTTTTTTTTGCAGAAATTTGTGGAAGATTATGAATTTTTGGCTATCACAGTAGTTCTGGTCACCATTTTCAGTCCTAGACTCATTTTTCGTATGACGTAATCGATGACGTCATATGACGTAATCGATGACGTCATATGACGTAATCGATGACGTATTTTTGAACTACCAATTGTCCTATTTTTTCGTTTTTCATCTTTTTTTCAGAACGTTTTTGTGATTTTACAAAAATCTCAAAATGGACGAGAGTGATTCTGAAATTAAAATGTCGAGTGACGGCCAAAATGAACCAGAAAAAACGAAAATATCTGCCAAAGGAGAACCAATAAAAGAATTTTCGCTTGATTTGGATGAGGATGGCATATGGAGAACAGGTCCCTATTCGAACAAATTTTCAGTTAAAACGATGAAAGATATCATTGAAAACTGGTCAGTTGAAAAAGAAAATTTAGTTTTAAAACCAAGTTATCTGTTTCAGTGTGACATCGTCAAATCTCACCGATTTTCGTTTGCCAGTGTTTTCGGAACCGTCAGTGAAATTCGCAAAATTTCGAAACGAAGATCATAAACTTTGTGATGGACTGTCTTGGTGGAAGACAACGAATGGTAGGATCAGCTGATTTTCAATTCATTTTTATTATTTTCTTTTCAGGTAGAAAAATCCGTCCGAGACCCAGAAAGATCGAATACGATGGATGCTCTTACAGATATTACAATTGCATCAATCCTAATGATGATGCTTTCAAAAAATTTGAGATTTATCCGGAGAAGGAAGAGTTCTTTTTCGTAGTATACGTGTCTCAAAATGGTCGAATGGACTACGATGTTCTGAAATCATCAAAACCTAACAGACTAACTGGTAAGAACAACTTTGCTCTAATAAAAGCGTTTATATAAAATTCAAATATTCAGAAGCAGAGTGTCAATTGATTCATCGGTCCCTGAAAGGAAGAACTGTGAAAGGAGCTTTCGAAGATCTAAAATCAGGAGCCCTTAATTTCAGTACCCGCCAAATCAGAAACCAGATGAAGTATCAGCCGGATTGTGTGAAGTCGAAGAGGGGCCGCGTGAGCGTGACAACACCAGAATCACTCGCATCTTTTGGAACAGAAAATGGCTTCCGTCTATTTTCTAGTGGTAAACAGGAACGTTTTTTTGAAAATATAATTTTTTCATTTTAGATAACCAGTTTGGAGCGATTTATCTCGATTCGGACACACTGAATCTTTATATGAATAGTCTACCGACAAAACAAACTGTACTGGAATATAGAAAGCGTTTAACTGGATGCGAAGATTGGACTTCAGAAGAAGTCAATGATTTTTTATCTTGTTACAGTCCGACAGCAAATAGTGGGATTATTAAGCATATGGCTGGACAGTTACAGATTGATAGCACTTTTGATTTGTCAGATTGTGTTGTGACAACAATCTCTGGAGATATAGGAGACTTCACATCGCGCTGCAGCGGAAAAATTCGCCATGTTCTTTTAGGATTCATGATTTCCTCGTCGAAAAATGCACTAAATCACAAGAGTTTTGCTCGCGAAATTGACGATTTCTTCCTGCAAGTTGATCCTATGCGAAAAAAATCAATTCCATCACTGATGACAGACGGCGAAGAATCTTTTAAATATTACAGCAAGGTATAGAAAACTTTAAATTTGTGTAGTCTCATGTTTCTTTCAGATGAAATATTTGGAAGACACTCAAGTTCTCAGGTGTCTAGTACATCGTCGAAACAACTTGACATTCATTCAAAGTAAAAAGAATATAAGCCAGTCAGATTTGAACAAAATTTTCGGAAGACAGATTGGAGATGAAGTTGAAAATGGAATTTTCAATGTAATGAGTTCAGAAGCGATGGAAGCGGAGATTGTCAAGTGTAATTTTGCGCCGGCTCTAAAGAAGTGGTTGCTCGATAGAAAAGAAGATCTCTTTTCAACCCATTCTCTCCGATCTCGTCTGATGGCTGGGCTGCTTCTAAACTATGCATCTACGAATCGAATTGAGAACCTTAATTCACGAATCAAAATTGCGATTCCACGAAAACTAAATGGACGCACTTGCTTGGATAAGCTGTTGGAATTTATCGAGGGTAGGGTTGACTGTAAAAACATCTAAAGTTGGATATGTTTTACAGATGAGAAAAAGGAATTTTGCAAGTCGATTTTGACTGGAAAGAGCGAGCTGATCCGATACGCGAATTTCAAAAAAACCGGAATTTTGTCAGCACAAAGTCAAGTTAAAGCTTTGCAAAAACATGGATTTCGTACTTTTTCGTTATCTCATGTGTTTGAAATGCCGAAAACCGTATGGAGAAGTGTGCCGAAACAGATGAAAATTGGAGAAGTCTTCAATAAGAACGTAATCTACCATAAATCCGGTCAGTATCTTGTGGAGAAAGATGACAAACGTTTTTTGTTGTGAAAACGACCGAAACAAATATCGAATGCAAGGATCCCAAATGTGCTTCAAAACCTGCTATCACTTGCTCACATGTGTATGTTTGAATTGCGTTTCATACTGGAGTATGTTTTTTTTTTAGCTTCGCTGTACTCAGTACACTGCCAACGAAAAAATGCCAAGAAGTTCTGAATATTCGCGAAAAGTTCTTGATTTCACTGTCGAGGAGTTTGCAAATCAAATCAATCAACGACGGAAAAGACGCAAAAAGATCCCGAACCGGAAGTACTCTAAAAGGTCACATAATAACGGCGGGAGAACTGTATCCGAATTCAAGAAGGTCAATAGAAATGTCTCTGGCGAGTCTGAAAGCGGTGATGATGAAAGGAAAGCAGATGGGAATATTTCTAGTGATGAGGAAAATGACAGTGATTGTGATGTGAATAGCTTGAATTCTAAACCCAATGTCTTCGATGAGTCGGGAGATATCGTCGAGGATGAAATTAATTGTAATTCCAATGATGAACATGTCAATCTAGTCCTTGACCCTTCTGTGGATCACTTGAACTCTCATGATTCTTGCATGGATCTTTCTGATGATCCAAGAAAGTATGACAGCGATTCTGATGAGGAGAATGATATTTTCGGATATCAGAATGTCAATCCAGTGCCGAAGCCATCAAATCGTGTCTCGAATGATCATAGTTCACAGATCGATCTTCGTGATGTTCTTGGAGAAAAGGGCTCGAGAAAGCCTGAAAGCGATTCTGAAGAAGTGACCGATGTTTCCACAGGACAACATGTGAAACCAATGTCTCTCAAAGAAAAGTTTCCGATTGGATACATGCATCGACTTTCGGATGATTCAGACGACAGTGAGACAAAGTGAGCGACTCATTTAAATGTTCAATCAGCTCATTAATATATTACAGAGACACCGAAACAACACCAGAAGACTGTCCATCACCGCCTAGAAAGAAGTCAAAGAGAAACTCAGGTCCTCCTTCCCGCTACCAAGCTTCCTTCAAATAAACCCCAATTGGCTTCAATTTTTTTTTCTCATCTTAAGGTCATTCTTAATTGTCTAATCCTTTTTTTTTTGTTTTTGCATTCTTTGTTGTTGCTGTTGTGTTGTTCAACTATGAATTGTTGCCACATAAAATTGTTCTGTTTTGTCTTTAAAACATTGAAAAAAAAATTGAATCCGAATTATCAAAATTATTTAAAAAATAAGAAAAATTTCAATTACCACGAAAATTGAGAAAAGATGAGAAAAAATGGAAAATGGAGAAAAACCGAAATATTGCGAAAAAACGGAAAATTGGGAAGAACGGAGGAATATGGAAAAAAGGAAGATGAGAAAAATTCAGAAGTTCCAAAATTCGTAGATTCTGAAATTTCAAAATTCTGAAGTTCTGAAACTCTGATGTTTTCGAGCTCTGAAATTCAGAAACTCCCTCAAAAAAAATTGTACCCCCGAATCACAAGCGTTGTACCCCTAAATGAAATGAGTTGTACCCCCGAATTTTTGTACCCACGAATTTTTTACCCCCGAATCATCAATTTTGTACCCCTAAATCAGTTGTACCCCCTTGTACCCCCGAATCATTGTACCCCCCGAATTGTTTGCCTAGTTTTTGAGATATGCGCTTTTAAGCTTTCGCGGATTAGGAGGATTATTACTTTGAACCAACAAAGATCCAAGGCGCATATCTCGAAAAACTACGGTAGCTAGAAAAAAGTTATAAACTACAATTTAAACCTCTATTTTTGCTTGGTGTACTCTGACACTTTCAGACAAATTGAAAACCCCATTTTGTAGGACTACAAAGTTGGCTGTTTCCTATAACTAAACAGTTGAAATTTTTGAAATTTTGATGTTGCGAAACCTAATGAAGTTATCCTATTACAAGAAAAATTAGAACTTTAATTAGAAAATTTTTTTGAAACAGCAATTTTTTCTTGAAAAATCACTTTTTTCTGCGCACATCGACCTGAAAACCAAAAATAGATGATAACATTTCCAAGTGAACACAAAAGAAAGCAAGTTTCTACGACGATTTTCAGCAGAGTTATAGCCATTTTAAGTTTTTAGGTCAGAGACGCAGTGTGTCTCGTTTCTCTGCGTCTCTAGCCTGCAAACTTTAAATAGCTGTAACTCGGCTCAGAATAGTCGTAAAACCTTGATGTTCAACGCGTTTATTTTAGATAAAATTGATGCATTTATTCTTGAATATTCTGAAAAGCATCATATTTCAGCTCTAATTTGTGGTAGAACGTTAATTTCTACTTGGTTTCATTGGACGTTTGATTCAAGTTTTGAAGAAAATATGAAGTTGATGGCTTTTTGAAGTAGATCAAAAAATAGCTCAAGAATTGGATTTTTCTTTTCCGAGATTCCGAAAAAACCGCTCGTTTTTATTACTCTATTTTCCAAGCAACTGCACACAGAGGCGTGAATAAATGTAGACAAAAATTACTGTTAATTCTTAAAAAACACGACAAAGTTGTACAATTTCTAATAATTTCTAACTTAAGTGAAATCCGATTAGGAAAAATTGAAATATTTTTAAAAATAAAAACATAACTATTTACCATATATAATAGTAACAATATACTAGCAACTAGGTTGTATTTGAGAGGCAAAAACGAAAACATTCTCGTTGTCTGCGTCTCTAGCCTAAATCTTCAAATGACCACAACTCGGCACAAAACGAAGCTAAAAACTTGATTTTTTTAGGTTCATTTTGTAGGAGAATGTTCATATTTTAGAATATCAAAAAAAAAAATGCTTATTGTCTATTCAAAATAATCGCGCGGGTGAACGAGTAAAAATGTCTGCGTCTACAGCGCCTCTACAGGTTTGGAGACTCTCTACACGTTTTTCTACTCGTTCATTCATGCGATTTTTTTGAATAGACCATATCTTTTGATCCCAAGTTTTGAAAACGAACGGACAGATTTGATGTTCATGTTTTTTTAAAAACAAACAAGGAAACCATTGAAACTGATACTCAACAAAACATTTTACTGTCTCCAAATTTTTTGGAAACATTAAAAATTTGTTCAATTCATAATTTGATGCAGACATAACAAGATAGAGATTCCATTGAGAGACGCAGAGATAGTTTAAAAGGACATTTGAATATTTTTTTCACAAAAATGATTTGAAAATTTTGGGTATGGCACAAAATCAACAAAACAGTGAGAAATAAAAAAACTAGCATTTCAGTTTTGAAACAGGAATTATTTTTGAAAAAATTGCACTGAAATCTAGCTTTATTTTTTAGCCGAGTTATAGCCTTTAGAAGTCTTCAAGGTAGGAAACGCAGAGAAACGAGAGCGCTCTCGTTGTCTGCGTCTCTAGTTTAACACTTCAAATGCCCGTGACTCGGCTTAAAATTGTCCCAGAAGGTTGATTTCTCGTCCGTTCCCTTGAAAATTGTTCATATTACTATGTTTTCTAGAAAATTCAAGGAAAAAAAATGATTAAACGAATTTGAAAAGAAAAACCCGAAAAATGTGTTTGAAGTCATTTGAAAGATGTAGAGAAACGAGACACACTGCGTCTCTAACCCAAAACTTCAAAGAACCACAATGCGGCTCAGAATGGTCGTAGAATCTTAATGCTTAACGTGTTTTGTAGGTAAAATTGGTAAATTTTTAAAACTATAATTCAACATGTTTTTCTGTTTCAAGAGATATTCGACTTTTCTGGACACAAATTTTTCGAAATTTCCAAAAAGCGCCATGATTCAGTTTAAAATTGTGCTTAAAAAGTTAATTTCTTGTTGGTTTTATTGGGGAATATTGATTTGAAATTTGGAAAATGATAATTTGATGGATTTTTGAAGAAGCACAAGAAATAGCTCAAGAATCTGCTTTTTCTTTTCCGTAATTCCGAAAAAACTGCTAGTTTCAATGTACCCTTTTTTCGAGAAACTATATACGAGACTAAAAGTAGATGAAAAATTACTGTTTCAAAAATTCATGGAACATGAAAAAATCATCTCGAGCCAATTTTTATCTTTTTGAAGTTTTGGGCTACAGAGATGCAGAGAAACGAGACACACTGCGTCTCTAGCCCCAAAACTTTTATAGGTAATGTGAAGTATTTTTCATACACTAATGATTCGAGAACTTGACAAGCAAATTTTGAGCCTGAAATTCATGTTCGGAGCGTTTTAGATTTGATTGTTTGAATTTTAATTTTTTCTAGTTTCATTTCGAGCCGAGATGTTTGAAGTTTTTCAGAGACGCAGAGAAGCGAGAGCACTCTTGTGCCTCTGCGTCTCTCACAGGAAACTTCAAATGGCTGTAACTCAGCTCGAAATGAAGCTAGAAACTTGGTTTTTAGAGAATTTTGTTCAGAAAAAATTGCTGTTTCATTAACAATAAGAAAGTTTCCCATGTTGACCATTTTCCACTGAAAAAGTTCAAAAATGACCCATTTTTTGCTCCCCAATACCAATTTTTGTCTATTTCAGAGCTCCAACCAATCACGTCGCCAGTAAATTGATCAAACATCTAATTGAAGAACTCGATGTGATGGGAGACGTTCTAGAATCTCATATTGTTCATTCCCTAGAAGTTCGGGAGAGATGTACGGAAGCTCTACAGGATGGGATTAGGATGAGAGAGGAGTTTGTGGAGAAAATGCGGGTGAGTTTTTTTTTTTTGAAAATCCAAATTTCAAGTAGTTTGGTAGTTTCAAAGAATTGTAAAAAATTCGGTTTTTTTTAAATGTGAATGTACAAAAATTTACTGTTTCAAATCAAAAATTTGTAATTTTCCCTGTTTCTAACTGATTAGTTAACAAATTTTGTTTTACTCAATTAAAGTATTTAAAGTTTTTTACAATTCGAATATTAAAATCAAGAAAAAAAATATTTCGAGAGTGAGCTAGCTACACGATCGCAAACTTTTTGACTTTGTCCCTTTTTATCTCCGTTACTGTAAGAGGTATCATTAAGTTGTCAACTAAGAAAATGTTTATCATAATATCGGCAAGATTTTATCAGTTGATCACTTTTTGATATCTCTCCCGGTTACCAAGATAACTGAGCTCAAAGGGAAGAATGCCATACTCGCTAGACAACTTTGTTGCAAATTTCATCCACGACTTTGACCCAATTTATCTCTGTTACTGTAAGAGATATCAAACAGTTGTCAACTAGTAAAATGTTTATCATAACATCAGCAACATTTTATCAATTGACACGTTTTGGATTTCTTGTACAGTAACCGAGAACAGTGAGGTTAAAGGTGCAGCTACGCGCTTGCAAACTCGACCCACGACTTTGACCCTAGTTATCTAGGTTACTGTAAGAGACATCAACAAGTTGTCAACTAATGAAATGTTTATCATATTATCAGAAATATTTTATTAATTGACTATTTTTTGATATCTCTGACAGTAAACGAGATAAGGAGGGTCGAATTAAAAGGTGCCGATACAAGTCTTGCAAATTCGATCCACGACTTTGTTTATCTCGGCTACTGTTAAAAATATCAAAAAGTAGTCAACTGATAAAATTTTCAGCATTTTATTACCAAAATTTCATCATTCGACAAATTTCTGATAGCTCTAACATAAACCAAGATAATTGACCGCAAAATGGGGAACAGTTTTACAAGATTTCCTGTTGCAAACTCGAACTACGTCTTTGACCCTATTTATCTTGGTTACTGTAGGAGATATTAAAAAATTGTCAACAGATTAAATGTTTATCATAATATCACCATTATTTTATCAGTTGATAGTTTTTGATATCTCTTACAGTAACCAAGATGCTTTCGTCACATCACTTTCTTTATAAATTCAAAGTGTAAGAAAATTTTTTTGAAACGGTAAAATTATACCAGTTCGTTGTTTAGGAAAATACAAATATTTTTCACTGTTTCAAAAAAAAAAAAAATTGTTTTTGTTGTAATTTTTATTGCTCACATACTATTTTCAATAGGGAAGAACCTAGCCAATTTATCTTGGTTACTGTAAGAGATATAAAAAAATTGTCAGCTGATAAAACGTTTATCATAATATCACTAACATTTTATCAGTTGACTATTTTTTGATATCTCATACAGGGACCGAGATAAGTATTGTTAAAGTTTGCAGACCACACTGTAATGGTATTTTTCTATTCAAATAAGCGCTATATCACTTTTTTTTCAAGAATTCGGAATATGAAAAACACTTTTTGAAACAGTGAAAATATTTTTCACTGTTTCAAAAAATAACTGTTTCAAATTTTTTCAGTGCATTACAACCCAACTGATGGACGCCAGACTGATGAATGAGGGTCAGCTAGCCGCCACTATTCAAGTCTACAGAGAGCATGAAGCTGAAATTAATCGGCTGAAAGAGGAAACTGAAAGTTTCACGAAAAAAGAGAAGGAACTTCATTCGGAATCAGTTCTCGGCTTCCAGACGATGAAAGATAGACACTATGAGATTGAGGATCAGTGGAAGGCGGAGAAGAAGAAGTTGAAGAAGAGGCTGATTGGAATTGATGAGTTGGAGACGGATTCTGAAAAGGGCGAAGACGATGATTATGAAGAAGAAGATGAAGAGAAGAAGGATGAGGAAAAAATGAATAAGGATATTCTGGAGATGAAGGAGAAAATTGCGAAATATGAGAAGGAATGGAGAGAATTAGAGAAATCGTGAGTTTCTGACTTTTTTGGTCTAAGCTGAGCTATTGCAAGAACTTTAGCCGTATTGAATTTTTTCAAAAAGTTTGAATAATAATTTTTTTTTGAAACAGCAAATTTAGTTTTTCTCGATGAAATTTTTTTTGAATCTCGCGAATTTCAGAAATTCAAAAAAAAAAACCACTTTTCTTTATTGTTTCCTTTTACTATAATGGAAAAATTGTACAAACTTCGATTCAATGATTTTTTGGAAATTTTTGAAACAGCAATTTAATAGATAAAAATTTTATGTTTTAATTTAAAAAAAACATTCAAAATACTGAAAATTCTGAAAAAAAATCATCCTAGGATTTTAAACAATTTCTAAAAGTAAGTTTCCGGAAGAAAATTTGAAAATTTGAAAAAAAAAACAAATTTCTTCATTTTTCCACTCATTGCTGATAATTGATGAATTCTGAAATTCTAAAATTCTAAAATTCTAAAATTCTAAAATTCTAAAATTCCAGAAAACTCTAAAATTCTAAAATTCCAGAAAATTCCAGAAAACTCTAAAATTCTAAAATTCTAAAATTCTAAAATTCCAGAAAATTCTAAAATTCCAGAAAATTCTAAAATTCCAGAAAATTCTAAAGTTCTAGAAAATTCTAAAATTCCAGAAAATTCTGAAATTCCAGAAAATTCTAAAATTCTAAAATTCTAAAATTCCAGAAAATTCTAATTTTGAAACAGCAATTTCTAATTTTTTTTTCTTGTCTTCAAACCCGTATTTCAAAAGCATACAATTTTAAAGCAAAATTTTCTTGAAAATCCAATTTCTTTCAACATCCAAAATATCCAAATAGAACAAAATGAACACTCAAATCACTGAAATTCAATTGAATTCTTGAAACAGTAAATTTTACATGTTTTGTCTCCGAATTTGTTTTCTTTCACTGTTTCAAAAAGAAGAAAATAAGGTTTGTGAATTCAAAATCATCAAAACGAAATAAACAATAAATTTTCATGAATATGGTTAAAAAATGAAGGTTCTAGGTTGATTTTGAGCTAAAATATGGCTCTTTGAAGTTTCCAGTGAGAGACGCAGACAACGAGAGTGCTCTCGTTGTCTGCATCTTTTCAAAACGTTCAAAGTCATTTCTAGTGCATTTCAAAGGAAATCCTTGGATTTTCCTAGTTTGAAAAAGACTGAAGCTTATGCAAGAGATGTAGAGAAACTAATTATTTTGGATTACTGTTCATTGAAAGTTACCTCATTATTAAACGGAGATTAATTTTCCCTTTTTGAGTTTGAATTGAAACAGAAAAAAAAAACTTTGAAGTTAGGAAAAATTGAAATTTTGAAAACTCTCAGCTTGATGCAAATGAATTGAGACAGTAATTTTTTGAGGTTTTGAGAAAAAAAATTGCTGTTTCAAAATTTTTAAAAAACAAAGTTCAAAATTATGAGAATTTCAATTCACAACCTATTGCCGCTTCTGGTATATTTAGAGATGAGAGACGCAGAGAAACGAGAGCCCTCTCGTTTCTCTGTGTCTCTCACTCCTCCAAACTACAAATCGCTGTAACTCGGCTCAAAATTGAGCTAGAAACTTGATTTTTAATTCATATTAAAGCAAATTTTCACATTTCCAGTGTCGATCCCTCCGTCGGAAAACTCAACCGTCAACTGACGCATCTCTTCGGTGAACAACAAGCCTCTTACGCTGTCCTCGTCGAAAGATACATCTCTGGAGAAGATTTGGCAAATGAAGAACGTCGGAAAGCCGCTGAAACAATTCGTGCTCTGAAATTGCACCTCTTGGAGGGCAAAAAAGGAAAAGAGAAGACGAAAAAAGTGCACGAGGTGGAGGCAGAGTACAAGGAGAGAATGGAATATGTTCAGGAGAAAAATTTGGATGTGAAGAAGGTTGTCGAGGAGATGAAGACGGAATTGGAGAATTTGAGTATGGAAACGTTTGGAGAGGGACTGGAAGAGGAGACAAAACAGAAGCTGTGGGAAACTTCGAAGCTGCCGAGGTTAGCTATTTTTGATTTGTTGAATATTTTGGGTGTCAACTTTGATACAATTTATCTTGGTTACTGTAAAAGATATCAAAACATTTTCAACTGATAAAATATTACTAATATTATGATGAACATTCTGTTAGTTGACAACTTTTTGATATCTTTCACAGGAAATGAAATAAACTGTCTCCAATTTAAAAGTCGAATTTGCGATCGTGTAGGTCTGCGAGAAGCTGAGCTTGAACTCAATTTATCCTGGTTACTATAAGAAATATCAAAAAGTAGTCAACTAAAAAAATTTTCATCATAATATCACCTGCATTTTATCAGTTGACTACATTTTGTCATCTTTTACAGGTACCGAGATAAATGCGCTGTGAATTGAATTAGCATCTAGCAACGTAAATTCTACATCTAACATTGTTAGCATCTAACAAAGAATCATAGAAAGAAAGAAAAATTTAGAAACAGCAATTTTTTTCGGAAGGGAAATGGAATTTTGTGAAATCGCGACATAGAGTTTCAATCGAATTTATCCCGGTTGCTATAAGAGATATCAAATAGTAGTCAACTGGTAAAATTTTTGTCATATTATCATAAATATTTTATCAGTTGACCATATTTTGATATCTTTTACAGGAGCCGAGATAGATTGGCTTAAAATAAAGTAACCTTAAATTCAAAGATAGATGTTTCAAAATTTCTGGAAACAGTCCGAGAGGACTCTCGCTTTTTTTATTTTTCAATTTTTGAGAAAAAAATTCACTATTTCAATTCTAAAATTAACTTCTGAAAACGATGTTCCAAAATGTTAACAGTACCGAGAGATAATGAATTTTTTAAACAAATTGATTTTTTTTCTCAAATTAACTTCGACCCTACTTATCTTGATCCCTGTGAGAGATACCAAAAAATTGTCAACTGATAAAAATTGTATCAATATATCAGAAATATTGTGTTAGTTAACCACTTTTTGATATGCTTCACAGGAACCTAGATTCAAATTGGTTCAAAGCTTAGCTACCCATTAAGACTAGACTTTCAACTTTGAGCCATATTATCTCGGTTCCTGTGAAAGATATCAGAAATTAGTCAACTGATAAAATGATAAAATGTTGCTGATAATATAAAAAACTTTTTTCCCAATTTTCCAAACACTTATTTTCAGCTTCGTCAGTGCCACAGGCATGTGCACTCAAAGTCTCGCGGCTCGTCTCTTCCACAAGCTCAGCTTCTCAGCTGGCGTCGTTGAAACGGCTTTCGAGAAGCTTCTGATGCAAACTAGAATCAATATTCAACACGAATACAAGGCAATTGAGCAGAAAACGAAATCCGCGGATACCTGGAACGATCTCCATAAGCAAATCATGAAATCCAAGACGCTAGAAGAGTCTCAATCGTTTGTCAAGGGGATTACTGTAATTGTGGATGATGAGGATGAGCAACAGAATATCAAGGATTTGAATGCGTTTTTCACCGCCATGCAGAATACCAAAAGTCGAATGAGTTATTATTATAATGATGCGTTGAAAGAAGCTGATGAGATTGGAATTGATTTTAGTTTGGGGAAAAAGACGGGGGAAGAAGTGGAAGGCAATGGAGAGGGGTTAGTTTTAAGATTCTGAAAGTTAAAAATTCAAAATCAGCAGAAAATTAGCTTCAAAATGAGTATAAACAAAGCGGGAGTCGGTTAGAAGGCACGGAAAATATTATGGAAAATTCAAAAAATTACTGTTTCAAACATTTTTTGAAACAGTGTAATTTTCCGAATTCTTGCTCTGTTGGGAATTCAGACGGATTAAAAAATGGAGAATTTAACATGTTTCATGAAAAATTGAATAATTCTACAATTTCATGAAGAAAATAGGAAATTGACATCATTGGAATAATAACATGCGCCATAACATTGAATTTCGGAAAAATTACTGTTTCAAAAAATTTTTGAAACTGGAAAATTATTTGGTTTTTTTTTGTTGAATCGGAATAGTCTGATTAATAAAATTGAGAATTTATGGAACAATTCAATTCAGAAGTTAGATTATTTTACAATTTCATGAAGAATTTCGAAAATTAAACCAATAGTGAAATAGGCAGATTACCATTAAACTTTTGAAAAAATGCTGTTTCAAAAAATCTTGAAAACTGTGGAAATTCAAAGTTTTTGTTAAATTTCAAAGTGTTTGTTGAAAAAAAAGAACAGTGAAAATTCAAAGGAATCGGGAAAAATGGAAAAATTTGAAAATTTGAATTTTGAATTTGATTTTTTAAAAAATTGTTCGCTTCGAAATCACAAAATTAATGACAATGTAGCTTAAAGGTGGGGGGACATGAAAAAAAATAATTTTCTCGAAATTCCATTCAAAGATGCCCCTCGAGGAGTTGAACTTGTGAGGGCGATGATTGAGGGTGCGGCGCCGCTACCGACTGAGCCACGCGGGCAAAGAGAAAGCGCGCGCCCGATTGCATACATAAAGGCGAGGACGACAGCTGTACGCAGAGTGACATTAAGCGTTGTACACCGTTACGGTAGAATGCATACTCTAGCTACAAAAAACTACGAAAAATCTCCTGTCCCCCCACCTTTAATAGTATCTTTTCAACATTATGTGAAATTTGAAAACTTGCTGTTTCAAAAATTTTTTGAAACAGGAAAATTTTCTGGTTTTTTGGTTTGCGAAACTAGGCTGAAACTAGGTGACTAGGCTTTCCATGACGGGCGGGTAGCGAACGGGTAGCTGCTACCCGCCCGCTTGCTACCCGCCCGTTATGGAAAGCCTAGACACCTAGTTTCAGCCTAGTATCGCAAACCAAAAAACCAGAAAATATGATTGGTTTGACAATTTTTGTCNCTTATTGNTAAAAAAAAAATAAAAATAATTCANGTATGAAAATTCATCANCCANTAAAAATGGACGAATTTGTTTCGGAAAGAAACCGAAAAATGCCCGCGAATTGTCGTCAAGTTGCGCGCATTGTCTGCAAACACAAAAAGTTCCGGGTAGCAAGCGGGTACGGGTACGGGCGGGTATATCGCTAGCCGCATGGAAACCCTATGTGAGACTAATTAATGAAATTGAGAATTTCTAGAACATTTTTTTTTTGAATAATTTGTAATTTTCTTAAGATATGTAGAAATTGACAATATAAAAATTGGAAAAGTACTATTGAATTTTTGAAAAATGACCGTTTCAAAAAATCTCGAAACAGTGGAGGGGCAATTTTCGTTGAAAGCTTTACAACGTTAAGGTTCCTTGGAATTCGGTTTTTTCCCAAAAAAAATTCTGAAAAAAAAAGATTTAAAAAATGTTTTTTTTTTTGGAAATTTTGAAACAATTTCATCGATAAGTTAAATAAATCCACGCTTTCTAAAAGAAATCCGAAAATCGACAACATTGGCATAATAATAGGACGTATCATTGAATCTTTGAAATATTGCTGTTTCAAAGATTTTTGAAACAGTGAAAAATTCCAAATTTTTCGATGATTGTGCTATTGGTACACTATAAGTTTATTTGGGGGTTTTGATTAAATAAAATAATTATTGGAATTTTTTCGAAACTTGGTTTCAAAATTTTTCAATGTTGATTGAATGTTGTTCGGTGCGAAAATAAATCATAAATACTTAAGAAGGACCAAAAAAATTGAAAAAGTTACTGTTTCAAAAAATTTCAAAAAATTTTGATTTGGTAGGTGTGATCCATTACGAAAATTGAGAATTTTTTGGAATAATTTCATTGAAAAATGCGATTAATTCACGAAATTTTAAAGAAATCCGAAAATTGACTATTGATATACATAGACAAAGTACCATTGAATTTTTGAAAAATTGCTGTTTCAAAAAAATTTTTGAAAAAAGAAAATTCCGAATTTTTTGGTGCATAATTTGACAATTTTTTCAAGAAATCTTTGGATTTTTGTCTAATTAATGATCGCACTAAAAAATTAAATAACTCCAAAATTTTATACTATATTTCGACAAATGGCCTCATTTGAAATAAATTAACAAAACAATAAAATGATTCCGATTTCAAAAAATTTTTGAAACATTGCAAAAATTCAAATTATTGCTAATCGCATCGAAATGAAAAAAAATATTTTTTTCTGTAAATTCTGAAACAATTTCATTGAATGGTTCAATTTTTTTTTGAAGAAATTTGAAAAATGACAATGTTAGCAATGGTCCACAGTTCGGATTTCGCAATTTATTCTCAAAAATGTTCGAATTTTGGTATAATTTATGAAATCGCACTAAAAATTTTGATAATTTCTGAATTTCGTAATGTATTTTGATATATGGTTCTTTCAATTCAAGTAACATAAAAAATCAATTTTTTTCAGTTTCAAAGATTTTTAAAAACAGTGGAATCCTCCAATTTTTGTTGAAATTTTGAAGTCGATATTCTGTGGAAGTTCGATTTTTTTTATGGAAAAACATTTTTGAAACAGTCAAAATTTCCAATTTTTTTGATGGTTGTTCTGTATGTTCGCTATAAATTTCTTTGGGATGTTTGATCGAATCAAATAATTATCACCAATTTTTTGGTTTCAAAATTTCTAATAGTTAATTGAAGTTGTTCAAAACAAAATAAATCATAAACAAAGAGGACGAAAAATATTGGAAAAATTGCGCTTTCGAAAAAATTCGAAAAATTTTGAAACAGTGAACATTCAATGCTTCTTATCCGATTACAATTTTCTAGGATTTTAGAAAAATCGAGCTTCAGAAGTTTTTTTTTTTGGATTGTGACCAAGTTTTTGAGAAGAAAAGTGAGCACAAGACATCACGAGAAAATTGACGGAGTACCATAAAATTTTTAAAAATTTGATGTTTCAAAAATTCTTTAAAACATTGAAAAATTTCGAATTTTTTGTTGAATCAAAAAAAAACTTATTATAACGAAATTACACCAAAATGTTTTATAATTTCTGAATGTAATTCGGAAATCGGCGTCTTTTAAAATTATAAAATCAAAAAATTCAGAATCAGCTTTAAATTAGCTTTAAATTGAGTCCAAACAAGGCGGGAATCAGTTTTTCATTTGAAATGCGAATGAGAAAAAAAAGTTTCTGTTTCAATTTTTTTTTTGCTTAAAGGTGGGGGGACAGGAGATTTTTCGTAGTTTTTTTGTAGCTAGAATATGCATTCTACCGTAACGGTGTACAACGCTTAATGTCACTCTGCGTACAGCTGTCGTCCTCGCCTTTATGTATGCAATCGGGCGTGCGCTTTCTCTTTGCCCGCGTGGCTCAGTCGGTAGCGGCGCCGCACCCTCAATCATCGCCCTCACAAGTTCAACTTCTCGAGAGGCATCTTTGAACGGAATTTCGAGAACATTATTTTTTTCATCTCCCCCCACCTTTAACTCAACAAAATTAATAATTGATACCGCATTTGAGCATCCATCAACCATTACAGAACATTTCAATAATTTTATTGAGACAGTGAAAACTTTGCAGTTTTATTAATTTCCCCTTTTTCAAGGATTTTGGGAAAAAAACATTTGGTGAGAAGTTTTTTTTTTTTTGGAATTGTGACCAATTTATGAAATTGCATTAAAAAATTGATAATTTCAAAATTTTCTAACGTATTTCAAGAATTGACATTTCATTTAAATTAAAAAAAGAAGAGAGAAATTTAACAAGAGAATATCAAAATTTTCCAGTTTCAAAATTCTAAAAGCATTGTGGTAAAATTGAAAAATCACAGTTTCAAAAAATTTTTGAAACAATGAAATTTTTCGTTTTTTTTTGTTGAGTGTATACTTTTTTTGTTAATCCTAGAAACTTTTAAAAACTGTTGTTTTGAACAGTTTTGAAACAGTGAAAACTTCCGAATTTTTTATGCATAGGCGGATATATCGGTTTTTCTGAAAATCTTTGAGTTTCAGACTAATTAATGAAATTGGTCTAGAATTTCGATAATTTCAAAAGTTTATGGAGAAAATAGGAAATTAACATCGAAGACGCAACATTAATTTTTTTGAGAAATCGCTGTTTCAAAAAATTTTGTAACAGTGGAAATGTATCATTTTTGCTGATAAACTTTCATCTTTTCTTCGGAATTTCGATTTTAAAAAAATGACAAAAATAAAAAATAGTGTTCGATTATCCGAATAAAATCGAGGATATTTTGAAAAATTACTGTTTCAAAAAATTTTGAAACAGTGAAAATTGCTCGATTTTTTTTAGTATATTGTTGATATGTTCATTTTTTGTGAAAATCTTTGTCAATTAAAACAATTAAAATTTGTTGTTTTAAAATTTTTGATCAAAATTGTTCATCAAAAAAAGGACTTCCGACTAGTTATCACTAATTGCCCAATCCCCCCCGAAAAATTTAAAAATCGAAAAATTTCTGTTTCAAGGAAATTCCTTTTTTTCCTCCGAATTTTGATTTTTTCAATGAGTTTTCTTCAAATAATCCAAAAAACATATCTTGCAGGCATGTTTAAACTCATTTTGAAGCTTGAAATCTGCTAAATTCAACTCTCCCAAAAAACAAATCCAAATTTCCAGCACCTCGCCGAAAACCGCGGCTGAAACCGTTCGAGACAACAATCGTCGTACTCGCGACTCGTACATCGGTGGAAACTTCCCAGCGACACCCGAAGAATTCCAGCAATGGCAACAGAAAATGATGTTGATCAATCAGAATATCAAGGAGAAGGAGAAGCAGTTGCTAGAAATGAAAAGACGTTGGGAAATTGAGGAAAATGTTCAAAAAGCAAGATATCAACAAGAAGTAGATCAATTGTTGAAGGAGATGGATGAGGCAAAAGGAGACAGAGAGAAGGAAAAGGAGATGGAGAAGAAAATGGCGGCGTGGTTCAAGAATAAGGAGGAATTGAGGTTCATGATTTATATGGCAGAAAAGTCATTGAAATTTCTTACAAATGATTGCAAAAATCAAAAAAATTGGCCATGTTTGAAGTTATGTGCCTCCGAAGTTTGCAAGGCGAGAGAGCAAGAGGGCGCAGAGAAACGAGAGGTGTCTCGTCGTCTGGCACTCTAGCCAAACAGAAAGAGTATTTCGGATCACTGTTTCCCATTATTCACAAGCCTTTAAAATTCTCTACGAACCTATGTAAAAATTAATGAAATTGGTTGAGTTTGAAGCGAGTTATGTGCCTTCAAAGTTTGCAAGGCGAGAGAGCAAGAGGGCGCAGTGAAACGAGAGATGTCTCGTCGTGTGACACTCTAGCCAAACAAAAGCGTGTATCCTGGGTTAGACTGGACGGATTTGAAAAATCTTGGGCTAGAATTGAAGCACGAAAAATGGAAATTTCAATTCTTCAAGGTTTAAATGAATTCTGAACGAAAAATTCTGAAATTTTTATTTTTGATTTTTTGTTAGTGTTTTACACCATTTGAAAGTTCATAAAATTTCTTACAAAACTTCATAAATATCAATAAAATTGGTTAAGATTGAAGCGAGTTGTGCGCTTTTGAAGATTGCAAGACGAGAGAGCGAGAGGGCGCAGAGAAACGAGAGGTGTCTGGTCGTCTGGCACTCTAGCCAAACAAAAGCGTATATCCTGGGTTAGACTGGACGGATTTGAATCATTTCGAGCTAGATTCAATGCTCAAAAAGCGGCAACTTTGAATCAATGAGTTTTGAATGGAAATTAATTCGAAAGCATTGAAAAATTTCAAAACTTTAACTATTTCAAAAAAAATTTTTGAAACAGTGAAAATTTTGATATACTTGTTAACTCTAATGTTTCGTTTACTAGTAGTTTTTATGCTGAAAATGTAAAAGTTCAGGGTTTCAGACTGAAAGTCAAATAATATCAGCCTTATGTTTTGAATTTTAAAATGTGTACTTGCATCTTACATTTTAAAGGTGGGGGGACATGAAAAAAAAAATGTTCTCGAAATTCCGTTTAATGATGCCCCTCGAGGAGTTGAACTTGTGAGGACGAGGATTGAGGGTGCGGCGCCGCTACCGACTGAGCCACGCGGGCAAAGAGAAAGCCGCTGCCCGATTGCATACATAAAGGCGAGGGCGACAGCTGTACGCAGAGTGACATTAAGCGTTGTACATTGCGACGGTAGAATGCATACTCTAGCTACAAAAAAACTACGAAAAATCTCCTGTCCCCCCACCTTTAAACAAAATCTTGAAACCCCACTTTTCAGAGATTTCGTTTGCATCTTGCATGACTTGAAAGCGTTTTGAAATTTCCTACATTTTTTTGAATTTTTGCATACATTTGTAGGAAATATCAAGGGCTTTTGAATGATGTACAACAAGAAGAATTTTAAATTTGAAGTTCTGACAGCACCCCTCGTTTCTCTGTGCCCTCCTACTCTTTCGCCTCGCAAAGTTTAAAGGCGCATAACTCACTTCAAACTGGACCTATTTTTTTTTGATTTTCACATAGAGTTGTAGAGAATTTCAAGGGCTTTTGAATGGTGCATAACTAGGGACCACAACATTTTTTTCAAACTGTTTTTTCATGGGATCTTTTCATTGTAATATGATCTCCTCTTCCTAATTAGCATATTTTCAAATTTTTGTCCAAAAATATTCGCTCATTCCCGAGTTACAGCTTATTTTGTTCTCTTCATTATCCTCCGTTTTCTCCGCGAGTGGGCGGGGCGTCGCCGACGCAAGGCTGCGGCGCGAAAAAATTGCGAATTATTTCTCGAGCCATTTTCTACGGAATTTTCAATTTCAGACGGCTAAAGACAGAGAAAATCGTTTCGAAAAGTGTGGAAAAAGGGGTTTTGAATATTTTAATTGTGATACCTAACCTAATTTTACGGATTTTCGCCAGAAAAAAGTTCGAAATCGGAAAAAAAAATAGAAAATTGAGGAATTCCTGAGAGAAAGGCTGAAAAAAGACAATCTAGGGAAGAAATGACCATCAATGCATCGCAAAGGTTCTGCTATCATTCAGAATATCTCATAGAAATCGAAAAAAATTCCAAAAAAAAAATCCAAAATGGAACTCGAACCCACATGTTCCCGATCAGCACACACCCAGCTTAACCATTACACCAAAGGCGCACATGAGCTGTCGGCGCATTTCTTTTCTTATAACACCGCCACTCGCGCGCTCCTAGGAAAAATATTTTTTCGACGAATTTCGGGAAATTTTAAAGGTGGGGGGACAGGAGATTTTTCGTAGTTTTTTTGGGGCCAGAGTATGCATTCTACCGTAACGGTGTACAACGCTTAATGTCACTCTGCGTACAGCTGTCGTCCTCGCCTTTATGTATGCAATCGGGCGTGCGCTTTCTCTTTGCCCGCGTGGCTCAGTCGGTAGCGGCGCCGCACCCTCAATCATCGCCTTCACAAGTTCAACTCGTCGAGGGGCATCTTTGAACGGAATTTCGAGAACATTATTTTTTTCATGTCCCCCCACCTTTAAGACAAAACTGCTTCGCATTTTCCTGCGCTAACTCACTGGAATATGCCACAGATATCATTTTATGTGAATTTTTTTGTAGAATCTGAATATATAAAAGACAAAAATGGAACAAATCTCTTTTCATGCTAAATTTGCGAAAAACCGAAAAATTCACTGAGCATGTCATCTTGCGACTGAAAATAAATTGCTTTCTGATGATCCAATTATGTTCAAAATTTGTACATGTAATGTTCAGGAGTGTTATTACCAATTAAAAATTATTTTTTCAAGGTTTTCGCTGGAAATTTTTTCACCATAATTACAGCCAGTTTGGCTGAAATTCACAATTCTGCGCTACAACTTTTCAGATAATTTCACTATAGTTTTCGATTAGAACATTTTATCAGTTACTCGAAAATATTAAAAATGAGAGTGGAACAAACTCCCTTTTCTGTCGTCAACTTTTGTTTCCCGTCTTTTTCTTTTCTCATGTTCAGTTTTCAGTAAAAACAGTTACATATTCAAATTCTTCGTAGTCGATTACATAAACAGACATATTTTCATTACGATTTTTTTTTCTTCTAGCCATAGATACAGCCGATAAAAAAGCCTAAACACTCCCGCGGAGAAAAAAAATAGGCTCCGCCCCTTTTGCTGTGGTCCATATACTAAAAAGTCAAAAAAAAAATATCGAAAAAAAAACCATCGAAAACTTTTTTTTCAGAAAAACTCTCCCGCTATCGACTCAGGCTGCCATCGAAGCTTCAGATGCTGCTCTTGTAGTCTCAACCAATGCTCCAGGACTCTCACCAGCACCACCATCCCCACCATCCCCCGTGCCAAAATTCACCACCGACGAAATGCGAGCCTTCTTCACGAATCAAGTCCTGGAAAAAACGAAAAACGACCCAGAAAAGGCCAAAGAGCTCGAGCAACGTGTCAGTGAGACAGTCTACGAGACATTCGAAATGTGCAAGAAGTTTGCGGAAACTGGAAAGCTGGATCTAACGAGAAAGGACCAGAAAATTGAGAGTCTGGAGGCGAGAATCTCGGATTTGGAGGCGAAATTAGAGGAAAAACATCAGGAATACCTGAAAAAGGACCGGCAACTCTCGAATTTGGAAACTGGATACTTACGGCGTGGATTGGGCATCTCAAGACATCAGCTGAGAAATGGGCGGAGCGAAGGGGGCGGAGCCAAGGAAGAAAAGAAGGCGGGGCCTAACTCCGTTAATCAGTACAAGTAGAAATTTCAGATTTTTGAAATTTTTCTTTGATTTTTTGTGTCGTCTTGTGATTTTGTCATTTTCAGTTCTTTTTTTCAGGATTTTAAAGAAATTCCAGAAAAAAAAATTTTGTTCTGAAATTTTGGAAAATTTTAACATCATTTTTTGTTTTTTGCCAATTTATCCCCAAAATGCATTTTTTCCCATTTTTCTTAAATTGCTCATTTTATTTTAATTTTTTGAAATATTGTTTTTTTTATTGCTGTCTGTTGAATTTAAAAAAAAAATAAAAAATGTCGTTTTCGATTTTTTTGAATTTTACAATTTTTGAATATTTTGAAAGGTTCCACAGTTTGGATCCTTTTTTCTATATCTTTCCTTTTTTGTCTTGTTAATTACCTTTCTAATTACCCCTAATTATCTCAAGTACTTCTAATTAATTTTCTTTAATTGCCCTTCTAACTACTACCCCCAATTAAATTAGAGCCTTTTTTCATAGTTTTGATTTTTTTTTTGGAATTTTTCGATAATTGTCTAATCACTCTTTTTAATTAGCCTACAAATTACCCTCTAATTAAGTTAAATCCCTTTTTTTCAGGATGAGCATAATGCAAAAAATGACGAGTCCAGAGGAGGTGGAGGATTTGAATAAATTATCAGAGTACCATCAACCCAAGGATACGGTAATCGATTTGATGACAAAAGTACTGCAACAGGAGAAAGACAAAGTTGAGGGATATGTGAAATTTGTCAGAGATCGAATGGAACAATGGATGACTGTTGAGTGAGTTTTATTTTTTTTGAAAATTTGAAAATTTGAAAAATATTGATTTTTTTTCATTCTAAAAAATTAAACTGTTTTTCTGACTATAAGAATACTAGCAAATTTTTGGAAATTCCAGTCAAAAAAAAATATTTTTTTGAAACAGGAATAATTTGAGATATTTTTGAAAAATCAGTTTAAAGGTGGGGGGACATGAGAAAAATAATGTTGTAGAAATTTCGTTTAAATATGCTCCTCGAGGAGTTGAACTTGTCGAGGCGAGTGTTGAAGGTGCGGCGCCGCTACCGACTGAGCTACGCGTGCAAAGAGAAAGCCGCTGCCCGATTGCATATATAAAGGCGAGGGCGACAGCTGTACGCAGAGTGACATTAAGCGTTGTACACCGTTACGGTAGAATGCATACTCTGGCCCCAAAAATCCCCCGTAAAATCTCCTGTCCCCCCACCTTTAAAAACTAAAAAAAGCTATTTTAAATTTCTGAATTTCGGAATTTTTGAAAATTTTTTACTGTTTCGAAATTTGGTTGATTTCATAATATCTGAAGAATCAAGGCTAGTAACTGTTTTTCAATAAATTAAAAATTCTTAAAACCATTGAAACTTTTTGATTTTTCACCGTTTTCAAAAATTGTAACCAATTTGGTTTTTTTTTTTGGAAATTCAACCGAAGAATTGTTTCAGAATTCCAAAGAGTTTTTTGTTTGAGCATCTGTAGTCAATTTTACTGAAAATGTTGAGCGTTTGTTTCAAGAGTAGGCTAATTATTATGAAAAATATTTTTTTCGAAAATAACTAATTTTAATTTTTGAGAGTAATTTTTTTTAATTCCAATTTTCACACTGTCTCAATAAAATTTAAAAAAAAATAACAGAAAAATTTTTATCGGAATATATTGAAAATTTACTATTTTTTTTTGTAAAAAATATCAGAAAAAAACCTTTTGAATCAAAAATTATTTTCTCTAAAAAATCAATGAAAAAACTTTTTTTTTCAAAAAATCAGTGATTTATTTGAGTAGACTTGTAGTATTAAAATTATCAGAAAATTCAAAGCATGTTATTTCGAAAAAATTTTGAAACAGCATTTTTCAAACTTTCATCTCAAACCAATTTTAAGGACATTTTTTGGTTTTTTGTCCTGAAAGACCTAAAATTTCAAGTTTGCTTGTTTTTCAATTTTTGTATTAAAACCAAATTTGAAACAACAATTTCCAAATTTCAGTTAGAAACGGATTTTAGGGCATTTTAAAAATTGTTTTGTTCTAAAATAACCTGAAATTCAATTTTTCAGAATGCCAATGAATTATTTTTAAATGATATGTGTTAACATCACTAACGAAGTATTGAAATTTCCAAACTTTTGCTAATTCAAAAAATTCGAAGCAGTTAAATTTTTTGTCGGAGTCTATGTTTCCAGATATGTCTTGAAAATTGATTACTTTTTGAGGAGAAAAATATCAGAAACAAATATTTGAATCAAAACGTTTTTTTTTCCCTAACAAAGCAATGAAAAAACATTTGTTTTCAGAAAATCAGTGATTTATTTTCTATTTGAGTCTAATCATAGTAGACGAAGAATCGGAAAATTCGAAATATGCTGTCTCAAGAATTTTTTTTGAAACAGCAATATTTTTTTAATTTCGAAAAGGAATATAGGGAATTTTCGGCTTTTTATGACAAAGGGGCGGGGCAAGTTGGTGCGCCTCCGGCGCATTTTGACCAAGTTTTTTACTCGTTGATCGCTTCGCTCCTTCTTTCTTCTCAAAGGGTCACGAATATCTATATTTATTTGTCAATTTTTTCTATAGTCCACAGACTGACAGGGGGACCAACAGACGCCTCTACCGTTTCATATATAAGGAAGGTTGTTACTCAGCTTAAATTGAGCTAATATTAGTTTTTGTGGTCCACTGCCTGAGACAGTGAC